TTAACTAAAATCTATTATTTTTTGATATCCCATCAGTTACACTAATCGATTTCCTCTTATTTCAGTGCAAATTATATTTATTTAATAAGTTTTCTCAATAACTTATAAATATTTAATGTCTAGATGTATAGCGCACTACTAAAGAAATTGCTAATACAAAGGAAACCATAAAATTCTTAATCAATTTTAAATCTATTTAGTTAACTACGGTTACATTTAATTTGATTGTAACTAACGGTAATTAAATATTGGTTAATTTTAAAACAAATTATTAAAATTGTAATGAGATTAAAATATTTGTAAAATTAAAATATATAGTTCAAATATAGTGCTTTACAGTATCGGAAAATTTTGTTAATGTCAATTAATAATATTAATATTACGATACTAATTAAAAAACATTTTAAAAAGGTTTATAAATTTAATATTAGTTAATGGAAAATACCATTTGAAGCGATGCAAAGCCAGGCTCCTGAATGTACCCTGCAATTAATTGTATAGTTTGTCGTATAGTACACTTAATTTAAATGGAAAAAAGCACAAACAGATTGTATCTTAAATAATTGAATACCTCGTAACTCGAGTTATATTTAAATTTTCGCCTTCGGTTTTGTTTGCTTTTAAGAAAACAATTAATTATTTATAAAAGTTTTTGAGTCATAAAAAGCATATCATTTCTCAAATTATTATAGCAAAACAATGTTTATGTGCAATAGTAATAAACATCTACACGACTGCTTCAATTAAAGATAACATAAAATTTAAAGTCAAATCTGAAAAAATAAAACAAATTTAAAAGAATTGCGAGAGTTTTGAAAATACTGTACTAACTTATATTCAAATGTGAATGTTATATTAATAATTGAAATTTAAATATGTCATTTAGTTGTTTATAAAATTTGTGAATATAAAAAAATATGATAGATAATTTATAGATGTAAGTAATAATTATACTTATATAACGCCTTCCCTGCCAGTCCCCCAATGGGATTCTCTCTCCATCTTCTCTTCTCCACTAAAAATATTGACAAAATGTAAGATACTTTCAAATATATGAAGACATATAAGAGTGAACACAAATTTACTGTAATTTCTGGCGGAGGATAACCTCTCGCTCGACATCTAAGAGTGACATCAGAGCCCTCGTTGACAATGACATCACTACTACTTTCGTTGACTAAGATATCGGGCGGCACTAAGACATCCAAATACCCGATTTGACTCTTCATAGGAACCGTATTTATTTGACACATATATCTAATGTATTTTATAACAAAACAGTTTATATTAATGAATATAATATTTTAAGGTATAAGACTTATAAGAGTCATGTAAAGTGAGACTAACTTGTTGTATTGAGAATGCAAAACTTATTTTGGGAGACCTTTACTTTCAGACAATATATTTATAACTAAAATTAGTCTTAAAATTATGAAATTGTTATTTTCTTATAGAGAAGAAAATGCCCTTTAAATCTAATCCATTTCCTGCAATAATGGTCCAGGAATTACAGCGCGACCATGGTCAACTTAGTTTCACTTTACATGACTTATACCTTAATTGAGTATCAAACATACCCTCCACGATCTGACTCCTTATTACGTACAGTATGAATCAAGCACATTTATTAAAATAGTATAACATAATTATTAATAATTAATATTTCTCAAAATGGATTGATTATTTTTGATAAATAATCTATTTTTAATTTTTTTTATAAAGTTCTGTACTCCATTTTTTAAATATGGTAATTTGATGTTTAATAGTCATTATAATCTTTTTACTCTGACATGTTCAGGTTCATAATATAAAACAATATAATAAAAAAATGGTTAAACTTTGCACTGTTGCAAAACTTTGAAGTTTTGCACTAAAAATCTTAAAATTGTATTTAAAAAATATTATAAACAAAGCTCAAAATGGTATTTGTATCTAGTACCGGTACAACACTATAAATTGTAAATACATAAATTTTCTTACTTTCTAACTTTCTTAAAACCTTTAGTGAGTTTTATTGCAGTTTTACTAAAGTAAGAATTCTTATATTCTATGTAAATTACTACCAGTATATTGTAAAGTATTTACAAAAAATGTTCACAAAAATGCAGTACAGTACAGTGTTTAATACCTGTACATTTTTGATGACAAGTATGAAATTGCGATTATCGTTATGATTGTCCAGTAAATTAATCCGATAGTTGCGTGTAATCACGTGATGATGTATTGTAAGGATATCTTTCTCCTCGATCCTAAGCCACGCCGCCTGAATGCAGCCAAACATATGGTTATATACTATTCATATAATATTATATATTTAACTATTCTATTCACAAAATTGTATAATTAATTATTTTACTTGCAAAGCATTTTATAGTTTATAATAAATTTAATTTAATTATTATAACATATGACCACATATCATGATTCTAGAAATGTTTTTTCTTACATTACAAGCATGCAAACTACACTAAGTTATCTGATAATAAAATTGCTTATACAATAAAAAATATTATTTTAAAAACAATAGCAAAATTGATTTTATGAACATTGTTTGCAAGTTTTAAGTTATTCTTAAATATCTTGATAATAAAATATTTATGTAACGAGTAATGCACAGTACTTACACGATATGAGCCTAAGTTATTGACAATACACGGCATTCTTGAATCCCTTCCGATTGGAATCGTTATGTTTGGTATACTATCACCAAATTCTGGCATTTCTTCGCCTTCAAAGAGATAGTTATCTGTATTTTAAATATATATATCAATATTTATATATAATAAAATCATTTAACATATCATTTATAATAATGTCAAATATTTTATCAGAATATCTTAATTAAATTTTACATAGAATTATAGTTTAAATAAAAATAACTATAAAATATTTATATTATGTTTTATTTTTTAATTGTAAAAATAAAACACAATTTTTTAAATGATATATATTTCCAAATTTAGAATTTGTATGATATTAATCAAACTTAATTAGAGACTATTTTTAATGTGTTATAGTACAAATTACGGTTATTCCCAACAAAACAAACTTTTACAGCACAAATTATTTGAGAGACTAAAGTGACCCTCATTTTAATGATTAGAAATGTGTATATTACTGTATTTACATTTAATGATTACATTCAAACCCAAAGGTATGGCATTCTGTTATAATTTAAAGCCAAAACTAAAGCAAACTGTAAGCTAAAGTTGAGCGAAATTTGTAATAATTACTATTTTATGGTATAATTGAGTTGTAGTTTTTTACTCGAATAAACCAATTCTGGTCACGTGTTGGCAACTATTGCTTTATTAGCGAACAATTGTGTTATATATTAATACAATATAGCGGATGAGATATACTACACTACACTATATATGCAAAACAAGAGGGAATCCAGAAGTGAAATAGTTTGTAGTTTGTGTCACACCTCTAATACAGTCAATTTTGGTCAAGCATTCAAATATCGATCATATATTTTGTAGGCCTTATACAGTATAAGTTAGGATAAGTCATTAATAAATTCAAATAATTAGGCGCCGGGCTATGGGATTGATATGCACTCAATTTGATAACAATTACAGCAATTAATCAATCGAGATATCAACAATACCTTATTTAAGATATAAATTACTAAAACTCACAAGTCAGTTAATCAAATAAAATATAACACTTTTATCTTTTAAGAGGTTTTATGTGAACTCTTATGACAAATAGTTTTTCAATTTTTTAATGTCATATAATTAATAATAAAATGAAAAATCAGATGATAATAATGTCGTACAAATACATATAAAAATCAAATATGAGATCAAATGAGTGTTGAGACGCTTGACTAACACGGGTTCGTGTCATTCATATGATTGGTGTCCGACAAACACGTCTCACGAGTACGTGATTATCGTCTCTCTTTGATTGAGTTGTAAAACAAAATTATTACCAATAATTATACCATATCTGGAGTCAACGGATAAACAGATTTTGAAAAATGCATTTGACCCTTTAATATATAATAAATGAATATACCATTATAAAATGAATTATAAACTATTTTGTTATTATAATGAATTATGGATATTTTAGAGAATAATGTACTGTAGATAATCACTTATATTATTAACATTATATTATATTAAAACCAAAACTAATACTGTAGCCAATAGTTAATATAACCTAGTATTACAGTATCAATAGTTTGTCATAATACAGTATATTTATGCCCATTACAATCCATCATTTTAGTGTTATTAATTCTTAAGACTTTAATGTTAAATAATATATATTCAAATAGAAATATTTTTTTATAAAAATAAATAATTATTCTGTCAATAATAATACAGTATATACTCTATAAGGGCACCTTCTACAAGGGCTATTTTCTTTAACGGCAACACAATTTGAAAGCACAGGCAGCTCCTATGAGCTATACAATGCTAAAGGCTCCCTACTAGGGCAACTTTCATAGGGGCAATAATTCTATAAGGGCTCTAGGTTTTATTGTACAAACATTAGATTTATCTCTACAACGGCAACTAAATTAAAAATTAATCTCAATTTTTGTTATATAAATGAGGTTTTTGGAAAATTATGAAATCTATCTAATGATTTGAATTTAATAGTATGATTTTATTTTGTTATTTGTTGATTAATTAATTAAATTAATAATAATAAATTATTAATTTTGATTAAATGTTTCAGACGTTATTATATTTATTTAAAATGTAGATTATTATTTAAATAGTTTGTTAAATAAATGAATATTTTGTAAATAGAACTGAAGTTAAGTCAGATTATTATTTATATATTACCACAAAGCTAGGTAGGATTAGTTTTAAACATAATCAATTATATTTAATAGCCAGAATATTTAAATAATTATAATAATTTATAACAATAATAATTATAATCTTATAATAATTTAATTAATTAGTGATATTAAATAAGTTATTTTGAGAGATATAATTAAATTTCTAGTAAATTGGGGACTTACCCAATAGCCTAAAACCAAAAGGCCTAAACCCTAAAAGGCATAAGACCAATAGGCATAAACTCAAGTAACTAACTGACAATTGGTTATTTTACTTAATTTAGGTTAGAGTGGGTTAGGTTAGGTAAAGACACGTCTATTCTGCTTAACAGATTTAAAATATCTCCACTGGTCAGTTAGTTATCTGAGTTTAGGCCTTTTTACTGACAATTGGTTATTTTACTTAATTTAGGTTAGAGTGGGTTAGGTTAGGTAAAGACACGTCTATTTTGCTTAACAGATTTAAAATATCTCCACTGGTCAGTTAGTTATCTGAGTTTAGGCCTTTTCGGTTTTAGGTCTTTAGGGGTTATGCCCATTCGGTTTTAGGCCTTTTGGGGTTAAGAATTACGTCTGAGAATGTCACAAAAATAAATCATACCCCGATATTATTACCATTTTTATCCGACGTACTATATGTGCAATATTTAAGCCCCACCCACTTTTCTATGTTTAACTAAAATCTATTATTTTTTGATATCCCATCAGTTACACTAATCGATTTCCTCTTATTTCAGTGCAAATTATATTTATTTAATAAGTTTTCTCAATAACTTATAAATATTTAATGTCTAGATGTCTAGCGCACTACTAAAGAAATTGCTAATACAAAGGAAACCATAAAATTCTTGATCAATTTTAAATCTATTTAGTTAACTACGGTTACATTGATTGTAAATGACAGTAATTAAATATTGGTTAATTTTAAAACAAATTATTAAAATTGTAATGAGATTACATATTTGTAAAACTAAAATATATAGTTCAAATATAGTGCTTTACAGTAGAATAGGAAGTTGGGAACCCTTGTCCAACCCGACCCTTAAGGGTTTCGGGCGGGAACGGGTTTGAATATTAAGGACCGGGCCGGGAAAGGGTTTCCCGTTGTAGAAATCAAAACCTTTAGAAAACCCTTATATTTTTCTCACAGTATTTATATTCCCTCTTAACACGGCCCCCAAAATGTCGATAAATTATTTATAATCGGTCTAATTACGATTTTTGTAAACCTTAAAACATTATATGACTGTATTTAATGTTTATTGCAATAAAGTTCATTTAAAGTGAAACTTACTGCAATTTTATATAGGGTTATATTTTAAGGGTTTTTCGGGTTCCCATGGGTTTCCCGCATAGAGGCCGGGTCGGGTCGGGCTTCCCGTTTGAAGAATACTAAGGGTTTGGGCCGGGCCGGGTTTCAAAAATTTATCGAACTTTGGAGTCTACTTTACAGTATCGGAAAATTTGTTAGTCAATTAATAATATTAATATTGCGGTACTAATTAAAAAACATATTTTAAAAAGGTTTATAAATTTAATATTAGTTAATGAGAAATACCATTTGAAGCGATGCAAAGCCAGGCTCCTGAATGTACCCTGCAATTAATTGTATAGTTTATCGTATAGTATACTTAATTTAAATGGAAAAAAGCACAAACAGATTGTATCTTAAATAATTGAATACCTCGTAACTCGAGTTATATTTAAATTTTCGCCTTCGGTTTTGTTTGCTTTTAAGAAAACAATTAATTATTTANTTAAATTTTCGCCTTCGGTTTTGTTTGCTTTTAAGAAAACAATTAATTATTTATAAAAGTTTTTGAGTCATAAAAAGCATATCATTTCTCAAATTATTATAGCAAAACAATGTTTATGTGCAATAGTAAAAAACATCTACACGACTGCTTCAATTAAAGATAACATACAATTTAAAGTGAAATCTCAAAAAATAAAACAAATTTAAAAGAATTGCGAGAGTTTTGAAAATACTGTACTAACTTATATTCAAATGTGGATGTTATATTAATAATGAAATTTAAATATGTCATTTAGTTGTTTATAAAATTTGTGAATATAAGAAAATATGATAGATAATTGATAGATGTAAGTAATAATTATACTTATATAACGCCTTCCCTGCCAATCCCCCAATGGGATTCTCTCTCCATCTTCTCTTCTCCACTAAAAATATTGACAAAATGTAAGATACTTTCAAATATATGAAGACATATAAGAGTGAACACATATTTACTGTAATTTCTGGCGGAGGATAACCTCTCGCTCGACATCTAAGAGTGACATCAGAGCCCTCGTTGACAATGACATCACTACTACTTTCGTTGACTAAGATATCGGGCGGCACTAAGACATCCAAATACCCGATTTGACTCTTCATAGGAACCGTATTTATTTGACACATATATCTAATGTATTTTATAACAAAACAGTTTATATTAATGAATATAATATTTTAAGGTATAAGACTTATATAAGTCATGTAAAGTGAGACTAACTTGTTGTATTGAGAATGCAAAACTTATTTTGGGAGACCTTTACTTTCAGACAATATATTTATAACTAAAATTAGTCTTAAAATTATGAAATTGTTATTTTCTTATAGAGAACAAAATGCCCTTTAAATCTAATCCATTTCCTGCAATAATGGTCCAGGAATTACAGCGCGACCATGGTAAACTTAGTTTCACTTTACATGACTTATACCTTAATTGAGTATCAAACATACCCTCCACGATCTGACTCCTTATTACGTACAGTATGAATCAAGCACATTTATTAAAAGAGTATAACATAATTATTAATAATTAATATTTCTCAAAATGGATTGATTATTTTTGATAAATAATCTATTTTTAATTTTTTTTATAAAGTTCTGTACTCCATTTTTTAAATATGGTAATTTTATGTTTAATAGTCATTATAATCTTTTTACTCTGACATGTTCAGGTTCATAATATAAAACAATATAATAAAAAAATGGTTAAACTTTGCACTTTTGCAAAACTTTGAAGTTTTGCACTAAAAATCTTAAAATTGTATTTAAAAAATATTATAAACAAAGCTCAAAATGGTATTTGTATCTAGTACCGGTACAACACTATAAATTGTAAATACATAAATTT